TGGGTCAAAGATGTCGTGTAAAATTAAGTCTCTTATTAAATCGTGATCCGCATTCCCTAATCATTTCGGTGCAGAAAGGCAGCTTCAATGATTTCTTTCATCTTAGTCACTATTTGCTTAATAACAATACAAACTTAAACTAGCTATGAAACCTTTCGAAACAAAACGGGATAAGAAAACAATAAAGTGAGGTTTATCTTATTAAGAGTGCAACAAACGCGGTATAAAAAACTAAAAAACGTATTTAACGTTATTTGCCTGTCCACCTTATTTTTTTAACACTGCGCATGATCACAATAACGTTTAGCGTTTAAGGCCAACGTAATTTTATGGGGCTTAAAAACTCTCTAATAGCCAATAATGTTGCAAATAATATAATAATAAAGCCTGCAAATAATAAATAATCCTAGCAAAAGATTCAAATTTTGTAACTTCCCGACAGAAAAACATAAACACATCGAAGACGTTGGTCTCGCAAACAGTCCATCTGAATGAAGCCCTCGAGACAAGAGTGTTTAAGACATTTTTAATCTGGCATTCTCTGAAGTGTTAATTTTGATATTATAAATATCAAAATATTGAAGATAAGATATAATGAAAACAATTCGCTCAGCTTCTCATAAGTTTTGTCTATGGCTGCAATTAAAATGTTACTTTCACCACAAAAGGCTGTACTTAAGTAGAAAATAAGCGCGCTAACGTATAGCCAAAGTCGGATGTGTCTACTTCCAAAAGCTTTAGACCATGATTTATGGCGAATTAATAGGAAATTAGTTATGGAATTCGCTGCCGAAATTCTCCGACATTGCCAAGAAGTCGAAGTTCCTTTCCCACTAACGAGTCTGGTAAATATTAAGAAATAATTACTCACAAGAATGCCAAGATGACCACGAACAATTTAATCAATGCCACATTTACATAAACAGGTACATTTTCCCCAGCAATTGAAATAATGCGCTCAGGGGTAGCAACAGGGCAGTTTTGCTAAATTCCGTAGAAACAAGGTGCTGCATTGACCTTGTTTTGATAGAAGTTATTTGAAAAATTTCAACAGAATAAACTATCAAGATTGGAAACCTACCAACTTTTGATATGATTCAGTTTGAGGTAGTCTATTTCGTTAAATCTATTTATACATAAGCATGTAATGGTATTAAATGGTTCGCAAAAAAGTAAATACCTCTACAATGGTTATTTTAGTTCTAAAACTGCTAATGCCAACAAATCAATTTCTTAGAGAGATTAACGTATAAAACAATTCCAAGTTTCCTGATACTTGCAAAAACATTAAACGACTGACCTTAGGAAGTTTTTGCATGTTTGAGCATCTCTAGTATCGAAATAAACCTGCTTTTGATATGACCATGATGGGTCGCACAGGTCAAGACCAAAGGATAAAACTCAATTCAGCCATTTATATTTTTGCTAAACCGATAATTAGATATTTGCTGCATTATTGCCTGATATTAAGAAATTACTAATAATGTGAAATATGTATTAACAGTAAATTCATAGAATATGTAAGGGTGTGTTTTGAACAGCAAATATAGTAAAATGCTAGTTGAATTGAATGCTAGTAGATAAGGCAGCTTTACTGCATGTAAAAATATACAAATAATAGAGAGTTAATGGACGCTCAATAAAGATATGCAGTAATAAAGTTAGTGGTATTTTGACACTACGCCTGCGCAATTGAGTCTAAAAATAAGGGACCCCCCTCAGCAATACTGTAACTAAGTTACTATATATCTATCGTCCGTTTGCAGGTTAAGTACAGATGTAAGTGATCTGTGGCTGTCTTGTTCTATGCAGGTTATTTCATTATACAGGGTGACTCGATAAGGGTAAAGAGCGGCTGTAACTCGACAACGGTAAGGACTAGCGGTTTGGGGAAAAATCCTTATATTATGTATTGAAGTGTGTAGCTCGACCGCTAGAGAGCACAACTTCTAACACAAGACGTCATTTGAGCATAGCATAGCATAAAATACGCAACGTCATACCGCATAGTTTATCTCTCTGACATTTTTGTATATTTTTCATAATAAAAGACTGGGAGGCCAATGCAGTTTTCAATATACTTTGCAGTTTTTAATATACTTTGCAGTTTAATATCTCCTGAACCACTCAACCGATTCCACTGTTTTTGGCCTTATTTGAAAGATCATTTTAATATCTTTTAAAGGCCATTTTTTGTTATACCGTTTGGTTTGAACAATTTGGTCAATGAGAGGGAGTTTTCTGCCGCGATTACATATTTTTGTGATTTTTGGGCAATAGTTAAATGGTAGGAGACTTTTTTTAGGAGAGAAAACCGCATCATGACATCTTCAGTCCTTCTAGATAGGATCTAGAGAAAGATCTCGGACAAGATTACCACATTGTTTTACACCAGGTAATAAATGATACTAATTGCGATAGTAGGCTAAACTGGCCACTGGCTTTTAAATAATATGATTCGAGAAGCGCGGAATCATGGAAGGAAAACTCATAGGCCATTTTTTTTGACCAAATGGAGAAAGCTTCTTGGCATTTCCAAAAGTTTCTTTGCCACCGCTTTTGGAAGAGGTCTCCTTGCAAACAAGGAGGAACATGTGGTTACAGCTTGATGGTTGTCCGGCGCATTATAATCGAAACGTACGTCAGCATTTAGACGAGAAATTGTCAAATTGCGTCATTGGAAGAGAAAGTCCGTTTCCCTGGCCAGCGCGCTCGCCAGATCTTACTTGCATAGATTTCTATTTATGGGGTAGATTACAAGACCTGGTTTTCCAAGACAAACCCACAACCAGGGAAAATATGATGGGAATAATTAAAAATGTCATTTGAAGCAGCAGTTTTTTCCACGGAAATTGGAATAAATAAATGCATTGAGAATGATGGAAGACATTTTGAACATTTGTGAGATGTTCTTGACTTGACCGTGTGCGGGTAATTCTAAGACTTTTTCAACTTTTACTGTTTTATTGTTATTATTTGTGGCGTTCTCCCGTTGGCTTTTAAGCACGCGTCAAAACTAATTGTAATAAAATGTTTCAAAAATTTACATTTTAAATAAATATTTGCATTTTCTTTTATAAATCGTCAAACTAAGAGTATAGTTCCATTTAACTGTTTTCCAAAACTCAAATAAATTTGTAATTGCTGCAGGAAACGCCATCTACACCTGGTTCAGACTAGCTTTTAAAGAAATAGAAACAGATCGAAAAGTTTGTAAATATTGTTTTATGTTATAAACGTCATCAACTCCAATAAATAATCAAGTTTGACAAGTTTCAACTGTCACTCGACAACGAGTAATGTGAAGTTTCGCAGCGCCATCATCGGTAGTTGAACTCGCAAATAGTAGTTTTCGATACAAGGGAGAAAAGTTCGCCTTCCTATGGAACAATATTTTTTATTCGAATGAAAGGTATAACACGATATATGAGTTATACTTAATAATAATGGCCAAAAATAAAAAGTGTCAACTTCATATTTGAAATTTGATGTCAATTCCATTTTTGAAATTGTCACGTTTTGACTTCCTATTCCTGTTGAACTTGCTCTCCGCCAATACTTTTAAATCCCCGGTCAAACAATTATGCAAATTCACTGCAACAATATAGATACAATTTTATTACTTACAACTCAGTTATGTTTTGGCAATAAAATGGACCTGTTTCTAGTTCTGCTGTTTGAACTAGTATATTGTATAGTATGAATAAGTATTCGTATTTGAATAAGGTATATCATATAATAAGGCGTATGAGTTAACAAACAATAATCAAAATAGGAGTCCAGGCCATCATAACCAAAATGTAGAGTATAATCTTCTCATTCTCTAATATAGTTCCTAGGAAAATGAATTACGTATTTTATTACAGTGAAATAAATTGAGACGATCAGAAAACATCTAGATTCAGAACAGAAACTGGCCAAGAACAACTAACGATTTTTAACAATCCCTTCTAAATCCCAATCTAGGCCAACTTAAACATACCTACTTTCACTAGCCCATTTTAATTAAGTACTACAAAAAGGTTAGAAAACAACGTTTCATTCTTGTAAGATTACTGACTAAGAAAAATGCCCAATTCCTACCCAGTGCCTAGTAAAAATTGATCGATTTCTACTACAAAAGTACTTTGGATTTCCACCAGGGATGCTCAGATAGAAAAAAATACACAGTCAAAGACACTCTGCCTACTGTTAATAAATAATGTTGATTCAGGTGCTCATTTAGATTGTTAATGTTGAAAGTATTACTTTAGATTAGCGGCTGATTTGAATTTTAATCGATTATTAAGCAACCTCAACTAATGTTTGATATTATTTTAACAAAAAAACCATTTCAAAGTTAGTTGAATTATCGAAAGTTTCGATCTTAGCAAATTGTATAAGTATTGCAGAGTTGGCCGAATTATCGAAATATTTGAATCTAACAAAAAGAACATTGCGGAGCCAGTTTAATTATTGGAAGATTTTTCTTTAAAGAACCGTTAGGAAAAACCAACAATCTTGAATCGACAACATTGTTTATTTTCGATGTTATATTTGATAAACGATATCAGTAATAAACGCAAAACAGCTGATTGATGACATGCAACTAACATTTGCAGATTGAGATCGAAGGATGACTACTTAAAATAAGCTATTTACTATTTGCCAAATGTAAAACACTCCCAACTTCCCACTAGAACTGGATACTTATATGCAGGAAATTACTTCTATGAAAAATAAACGTTATTCAATAAGAAATCACTTTTATGACGTAAATCATCCGTATAACTTCTGAGTTCTAAATCCGTCGTACTTTATTCCCAATGTCAGAAATTGCTTATTATTTCTACATTGATGGGCATTAACCAAGGGTTGTCAATTTAGTCAACAATAATTCGAAATTACGATTTTATTGTTGTTGGTCCTGCCTCCTAATACTTGTCAACATCAACTGTATTTAACGAACAAATAAAACCCGGAAGATTTAAATCCTGACAAAGCAAACGTTCTGTTTGCATCTACATTTACAAAACATTGCTCTGTTTACTGCATTAAAAGATATCAGCAAAATGTTTGTTTATTACAGTTCGTATTACAACTATCCTAGGGTATGGTTTAGTAGCAGCACACCAGCCGCTTTGATAAAGTGGAAAATGTAACAATTATGCTACTTCATGGAAAGCTTGCAGATGCAGAGTACGCTTTATATTTACTAACCCCAGTCATGTTTTCGTTTTAAATACTTGGTATATTCGCATAGAGCTCAGTCAGTTGTAACAGATCGTCTTTGGATGGGAACTCGAAGACTTATGCATTTTTTAGTGTTGAATTGGTTTGGTGGGTCTGATAAAACGTTCCTCAGACTGATCGATATTTGTATCTATTACATAATTAAAACTCATTACAGTGATCAAATCGAATATGGATGAGTCACAGTGAACGTCCTCTAGGACCTCAGGATATGACGGAAATATCAGCGACACGCACGTAAAACGAATTGAAGAAATGTTACCAGAAAAATAATTTTCACCGCTCTTAATTTAAGCAGGCTGCAACTAAGCACTACCTGAGTGAATGAGGCCTGATACTCTCAGAATCGGCAGGAAATTAATCAGTCCTACACCTTAAGCAGAAGGTACAAAGCGTCCCTGCTTGGCAAACCAGAGTTCGATAAATAGACAATCACACTCTCTCAGAAAATGTTGCTGAAATCACCAATCAATCTATAAATGTATGCACATTGGAAGTAAGCCTGAAAAAGCAAAAACAAAACCTCTTGAATCTCCCACCTCAAATCAAATCAAATCAAAGCGATCCGAACTGGGTTTGATGAGGTTCTTACACTGATAAGGACATTGTATACTAGTGGATAAAAACGCTTCAATGTGTAATGTTGACGATAAGTTGTTTAGAAATTCGAATCTCTTTTATCTGAATATTATTATTAAGTTAACGCGCGCGTAAAAATGCAATAAAACTCATCTACTCAAGTTGCAGCCATTTAGGCAGCTTGGTTAATTACAACAATCAGATATACAGGATGTTCTTTAAGTACGTAGGTAGCCTGTAATGTTCAGTGAATCAAATTTTGGCAAATTGCGTTTTACCAGAAAAAAAAATAGTTTGTAAATTTCTAAATAGTTTCTAGACATAGTAGACATTATGTTTCATTAAAACTTTCTGTATGATAAATCTCACCCTGTACGTCTTCAAGTCATGTACTTTATTGAACCCTTGTGAAATCAACCTGGGCCACAAATTTCATAACGATAGTACAAAAACTAGGTATAGAAGCTGTGTGGAAAAAGATATAAAAAACAATACACAAAACATGAAAAATTGTAAACTTTGACACTGTGTATCGCATAAACAGGGAGTGCCCAGACCAGCCAATTCTAAATTAATTTCATTTCTTAGTTGGGAATTTCCCTTACATCATCAGCTTAAGTGTGTCAGGATCCTACTAATAATATAGCTTTTATGTTACGTTTGGAAAAGGAATGCATTCTTCATATAAAAAGCACACTTGCTATCAATTCATGATAAAGAACGTGAATTTATTCGGTATTTCCACAGATCCTGGATTTTTAGGCAAAAAAACCCTGACTGACCTTGAAATTTCTACTCAAGTTAAAATCATTCAAATTTCAATGCAAATTTGAAGAATTTGCTTATGGTGTTTTATATCATTTTTGTATTATAATGTGTTGTTATTAACTTAACTTTGTAAAGTGTTATAAATCTACATAGCATGTGTGTCTCCATTAAGTCGGGTAAAGCAGGGAGAGTTGGACCACTTTTTTTGCAATTATCGTTACGAACGATCGTTTAAAATTATTAAAGAGCTTTCAGAAAAGAAAAAGAAGAGCCTTCAGTTTGCCTGGGTATTTCTCTCTTAGACCGGCGGAGATGTTGCCAAATGCAAAATTTATTTAAATAATGGGGTAGATGGGCCAGGAGTGGTAGGATGGTCCACTATGGTTATTGAGTATTTTCTGTAAAATAGAACTAAAAATAATTATTTTGGGTAATAAACTATATTTCGCACTAAGAAAATACATAAAACTCATTTTAATATATAGAAAAATTAAATTTTAACACTAAAATATACCACCTACACTAGACCAGTTTAATTTCCATGGCTCCAGGGCCTAAAGAAGGGTGCTTCTTCAAGTATCGGGCTTTAAGCGTCTCTTCAGAGTGGATTTGGAAATCCCAAAATTTCTAGCAGCTTGGTTGATGCCCATTTCGTTATTGTCTATTGCTAATCCAGCATTTTTCAGGTTTTTCTAAGTTCATTCTCTTCCTTTAGAATGTTTGCGATTCTACGGGCATTCCTACAGTTGACATCCCTAGATCCTTTACTTAAAAAAAATTGTGACGAACACAAAAGTTGTTTAACTTTGACACGGAATTGTCAAAATTTGACATAGTATTTTAAAAAAATGAAACACCCTATATATTTTTAGACAGACCGATTGGAGTTTTTTCCTGATTTCAGAAATATACATATACAGGATAATACGGGCTCACTTGGAGAGTACAAGAAAAATATTGAAAACTTAACAGTGGAAAATCGAATTTCAACTTCGTTATTAAGCATTATTTTGAAATTGTCCCATGTTCAAGTTGTAGCATATTGGAATACTTAAGCATTCGAAAAGAAAAAATTAAATTAGCCTGAAATGAAACAAAAACCATAGAAAGAGAACATAACGGAATTTATTGCTACTATAAATTTCAAAATAAATAAATAAATAAAAATAAAATCATTAAAATCACTGATTTTGTATATGACCTCCATTTAACGCTAGACATACTCTATATATAATTCACTACAATTTCAGTATCTACAGTATCATACACAATATTATTGAAATAACACCAGAGAAAAGAATCAAGGAGTTAGGTCGGGGCTATTTGGAGGCCATTGGATAGGACCCGCTCGTCCAATCCAGATATCAACATTTTCATTTGAAAAAAAGTGCTACCGGGAGAACGTTATGGGGTGGAGAGAGCGACTTGGAATATAGGAAAAACGGCTAATACAGGCAAAATATATACTTTTGCAATCAGGAAAAAAAATTACTGCCTTTCGAATTTCTTCTATGGATGGTACTTCTACAGGGAGATCTGCTGTGTGATATGTATTTTCAGTGTGTTTTCATCGGGATCTATAGTTACCAGCTTTTCAAAGTAGTTTTCCCATGTTTCCAACTGTTCATGTTCGTTAATTATCATGTCTCCATTAGCGCTTTTCAACATCGAGACCGAGCTGGGCTGATATCCTCGTTTTTCGTTGTGTATTGCTCTATAGAATTCCCTAGAAGCTGGTTTAGACCTATTTCTTTCGATCATCTCGTATTTTCAACGTTCATAATTTTGTTTTTGCCTATTTATGAACTTCCCGGTTTCTTTACGAGAGGTTGCATATTTTTCTCGGTTTTCAAGTGTATCGTGCTGAATCATGGCTTTTCAAAAGTTTCTCTTTCTTGCAATTTTCATTGACACTGTTCATTAAACCATGATTTAGTCGTTTTCTTTTTGGTTGTCCCGATGGCTTTTTCTGCTGTTTTTTTCATCGTTTGTTCAATATACTTCCTCAAACCTTCAACATCCTATGTGCGATTTTCATTCTCAATGAGTTTCTGTTCCAGTTCTTGTTCCTATTTTTGTTGTTCTACTGGATTCTGTTGTTCCTATATGTTTCATTTTGTGGTTTGGTTAGTTTTTTTGGTTTTTCTGACTCGATAATCTGATTTGCAGTTTGGCTTCTACCCGAAAATGATCTGTATCTTCGTCTACTCCTCTAAGGCTTCTTACTTCTAGGAAACCACTCCCATGCCTGGGTCCACCAAGACATGGTCAATCTGGTTGCGGGTCACATGGTCGTTGGATACCCAGGCTCGTTTATGGAAGCCCTTATGACGGAACATTGTGGATTTTATCAGCATGTTGTTGGCTGATGCTAATTCTATTAGTCTTTGTCCGTTGTCATCGAATAAATTGTGAAGGCTATGTTGACCTATTGTCGGCCTTAAAGTTGGTGATTTGCCTATTTGTGCGTCGAAATCCCCGCATAGTACTATCATATCCTGGTTGGGCAGGCTTCCTACTGTTCTTTCAAGCAAGTCGTAGAACGAGTCCTTAATAACCTTACCTTCCGTAGGAGCATATAGGTATGTCTAAAAATATTTAGAATCAGATTTTAAAAAAATTAATAAAATTAAACATTTTTTCATTCAGCATTAAACATGCTTTTGTGTTGGTCACTTTCACATTTTTTTTTAAATGAACGTTCTAGGGGAGGGGGTGTCAACTTTTGAGGAAACACTCTGTACACAGTAGGCATCTTGATTAAAATACTGAAATTAGAATAGTAAGCAAATGTCCTAATGTGTAAGTATGCTGTGCGTAGGGACAGATGGACCATCATCTCATTGCTATTTCACTTTCATCTACTGCTGTGGCTGCATGATTGCACTGTCTAAAGCGTTTTTGAATTATTGTCACTGGACCATCTTTCCTACCCGCCCATCTCCCTTTACTTTCCCTGATTCATTTTTAAAAGGGGTATCGTGGAAACATGGCTCTAACAACACATGCATTTTTGTACACTGTAAACATAGTTTTGTATCAAGTTTTCCAAACATACCATACTTTATTTTTGTTATTTTACTCGTCCTTAAAATTAATTAAAAATGAACTTTTCAAGCGGATCTTAAGGGTCTTGAACTCTCTACAGGGTGAAGAAAGAAGTCTTTAGGAAATTTCGACTTTGGTATTAAATGTTATTTTGAAATCGTCCCATGTTTGATTGATAGTTTGTTGGAATATTTAAGCATTATAATGATCTGAAAATTTTTAAAATTAAAATAAAAAAAAAACAAGGAGTTCAGTTAAAGGTAGACTTTTGTCAAATTGTGACTCAGTATCGTCTCACAAAATGTCCGATTACGTACTGGAAGCGCAAAGCTATGATGGCCGTTAAAATAAATGTATGTACTTTCCTGCTCCCAGTTTGGAGAGCAAGTCTCTTTTAGAGAGTTTTAAAAATAGTTCCCTGCAGATGATATGGCTCAGTTAACCAAGATCCAGGTAAATAACGAGTTATCCAATTCGAGGTTGGGAAAGTAAAACCTTGCTAGTTGATATCTGTCAAAGGTAAACGTCATCCGAAGCGTTTTTGTTTTAGTTGAATTTTTGCCATTTTGGAATATGGATCGTTTAACTGTCGAAGAACGCGTAAAAATTATTAAATGTTACTATAAAAATGATGATTCTGCTGTATCAACTTTCAGGGCTTTACGAGCAGATCACGGTCGACATAATCGACCCACAGAGCAAACAATTTCGAACACAGTGGAAAAATTTGAAGAGACTGATATTGCAAGGCCTGTGCATCATCGCAACATTCGTTCAGCTGAAAATATCGCTGTTGTTGCTCAAAGTGTGGAAGAAGACCAGAATTCGTCGATTCCCCAACGTGCTCAACATTTGGGCTTGTCTTACGGCTGATTGTGGCGAATTTTGCAATTGGATTTGAGGCTCCATCCGTACAAAGTCCAACTGACTCAAAAACTTAAGCCTCAAGAGGGTGGGCAACGCAGAACATACGCAAATAGTGTGATTGAACCACAAGCCGTTGATGATGATTTTTGAAACCGAATTTTCTTCAGCCATGAGGCTCATTTTTCGCTCGGTCGTTACGTGAATAAACAGAACAGCCGTGTATGGAGCTCCCAAAATGCTCAGGTGATCGCAGAAAGGCGTTTGCATCCTGAAAAAGTGACCGTATGGTGTGAATTATGGTCCGATGGTGTTATTAGCTCGTATTTTTAATAAAACTCGATAAAACGATCAAGGAAGAGCCATAACAGTCAATTCTGAGCGCTATGGACGCATGTTAACCGATTATTTTTGGAGAGAAATTGAAGATTATGATCTGCAACACATGTGGTTCCAGCAGGATGGGGCAACAGTCACACAACACTGGCAGTTAGAGCCCTGTTGCCAGAGAAATTTCCAGGACGCATAATTTCGAGATTGAGTGATGTCAATTGGCCCGCAAGATCCTGCGACTTAACACCGTTAGATTTCTTTTTGTGGGGCTATGAGAAAGATCGCGTTTACGCCGACAATCCTCAAACTCTTGAGCAACTGAAAGCCAATATTCGTGAAGTTACGACGGA